CGCTCCCGGCAGCCGTTAGCATCATGGTTCGGGCCTGGGTGTCCGGCTTCTCCAATTCGCAACGGCCACCCCGACCAGCACGCTGACATTCTGGAAGGCTTTGCCTGCCAGTTGGCTCGCTGCCGCCCGAAAAGGCATCGACAGCGCCTGCGAAGATGAACACGGGGAGCTCCTCCCCAAAGTCTGAGTCCAGAACTCGGGAAGCCTGCTGTCTTTGAAATGCCATCCATTCAGCATGTCAGCAATCGGCGTTCACAATCCTTTTCAGTTGACATCCAGAGCTGCACCCCCACAACAGAGGGGCTCGCAGGCCGAATGCTGTCCGCGGGAAGGGGATACGGTGGAATTTCGATCCGTTCAAGGAGTTGAGGTTCAAAGGAACAGCTCTGGTAATCAGGGTTCTCACCCACCTGACCCAAGAAATAACCCACCTCGTGTAGCGATCATTCGGGTAAACTTCTCCACGCCTCGAAGGAAATAGGAGAAGCGTACCTGGGTCCATTTAGTAGTGGTGTGGATATTGCCTGTGCTCGGGAAATCCTTAGTCATTGGACGCCAAAAGACCTTTCCCTATATTATGGGTTCGGTCGCCTCCAACTGGATGTCCCAATCCGTGAGCAAGCACCAGATCTCCAAGAGGGACATATGCTATATTTTGGGTCTTCAAGAATCGGGTCTTAGTGTGGTCGTCTGATTCATCGTCAAGCGACTCTGATGACTCTGGAGAAGAGCCTAGGCCAGAGGAACCCGAGAGTCCCTCCCAGAAAATGGTCCTAGTGGGAGCGCCAATCTAGGTGGCGCAAGTGCCTCTCAGGACCAAACGGCAGTTGGGCAATATGGTAATAGTGGTGGCCAAGCAGCCATAGAAGGCGGTAAGGTTTCAGCATTTCGCCGCTTAACTCCACTAAATGCCACGGTGCCTTCAAGCCCGTCATGGGGATCGGTTGACTCTCCGGGAAGACCAACCGAGAGACAAGCTCGGGGGAGTACACAATCCGAAGCGCTAGCTTGGCCACTCCTGAGCCAGAGCAAGAGCTAGGGTCAATCTCTCGGGATGAAGAGCCGGATACAAGGGCTGAAGAAAGCTAGCTCCAATGCTGGACACTATAGGGATAGGTAAGGTTGCTGATTTAAGCTGTATATATATGGAAGACCTTCTGGAGGAAGGAATCGTGATTACAGGTGGGACGTTCCTGCCAAGGCTACCACATGACGTGTTCAAACAAAGGGAGCCCATGACTACCGGTAACCCAGTATGGGTGGAAGGCGTTCGCGCTAACGAATTAGTGCACCCATCGGTAGGCACCACCTCTTATAGGTCATAGTGGGGCAAGTAGTAGTAGCACTGGTCAAGGCCCTGCGCTGCCAGCCACGCAAATTCCTCCTCAAGATCGAGAAGAGTATCAGAGGATTTGTGAACGAGACCAAAAACTTGAGGATGAAGTCCTCACGTGCGTGTTAGCAACTGAGCCTCCGGAATCCAAAGGAATAGTCAATGGTGATCAGGTATGGCTTAAATTCCCCAACGGTGAGCTGCTGGCGTTGGAGATTGACAACTCCGATCAACTGTCAAATCTCCTTGATAAAGCATCATGTCGGTCAGCAACCATTGGTCCTACCAATGATGTTTATGCCACCTGCGAAGGGAAGCCCATTGATCCCCGAGTTTCTTTGCGAACTCAGAATGTAAAAGAAGGTAGCTACGCGCGCATCCACTACCGCCTAGGGGCGGGGTCAAACGAGGCAGGGAAGAGTGCTATAGCTTCATGTAGCTACGGGATGCGATGTCTTTTCTCCCATGATACCTCTAGAATATGTTGCACGGTGCGCGGCTGCGAGGATCATGTCCAGGAGGAGCGCGTGTGTTATGGAGGTGGTAGTTATAATCCTCAGCTTGACCCAAACGCGCTTAAAGAAGCAGAACGAGCAGCCCTCCACCTAAGTCTATACTGAAAAGTACCACCCTTGGTCAAGTTTGGCACAATCGGGAGTCTCACATCTGGTATGGTACAGATGATGGACAGCGGGATGAATGGGTCGAAGTTGAGCCAGAGAGGACCCGGATGGCCAAACCACCAAGTCCCCCTAAGGTCGTATGGGCTAGCGCCAGACTTCGTCCAAGGTCCGACGGCAGTGGTAAACGCCCACCTACACCGCCTAGGTCTAAGCGGGCAAGGTCAGCTGCGAGTAGCAGCGCTCACCAGCCACCTCCTCAAGTTGTACCACCCAGAAGAAGGGAGCCTCCTCAGCGTAGAGAACCTCAGACAGTGTTTGCAAGAACCAAGATTGAAGGTACCAGCCAAAAGGCTGAGGTGAAGCAACTTGTTCCAAAAGGATCAGTTGGACGCAGCATGCAGCCAGCGTCAGCTCCAAAGAAGCTGAAAGTTGCTGAGGCGTACACAGTGCTAAAACGGGCTCGCCGGGCCTCAGCTAAGAAGGTCAAAGTGGCCATAGAACCAGATGAAGCTTCACCTAAGTATCTTCAGCCTCCAAGGAAAAGGTCTCAAAGAGACGAAGGAAAGGCAAAGCCGCGTCAAGAGTGAAAGTGACCACAGCCCTCTGGAGGAGGCAAACGATCATGTGGTCAATCCGAAAAAGGTGAAAGCTGAAGCACCTCCTACATCCTCTGAGTCCGAGGAGGAGAAAAGCCAAGAATCAGATCAAGTGGTCACGGATGAGAAGTTGGCCACACAGTTTGATAGGCTGAAAGCTTCAGTTAAGCCTAAGGAAAGGCCACCTGCCGTATCGGTAAAAACGGTGGTTCAGCAGAGGCTGAGAAGACAGGTAATCAACCTGTCAATGCTGGCCGTCACCACAGACCCCACGATTCGTGTCTTGCATACACTCAACAGCTCAACACAGTGCGGTAATCCTCAATTTAGAAGGTGCTCCACTTGTTTTCCCAGAGCCTCGCGGAGCTCACATTGAGCAAATCCGCAATGCTTTTCAAGTAGGTCGTGAGGTTACTATGACTGGGTTACGCGGGTGTCAGCGACATTTTGTCCAAGTTGAAGATGGAGACTTCTTTCCATGGGGAGCGACGCTCATCCGATGGACCCGGTAATAATCATAAGCAGCCTTGAGTAGCCACAGAAAAATTGGCTTCTCTCGGAAAGAGAGCCAACGCACACCCAGTTCTGGAGGAACGGTTGTGTGTACATAGTATGTAGGAACGTTCTGTAAAGCAGAACGGCGGGAGTGCATGTACATGAACAGGTGCGCGTGTGCTACACGTGTTGTATATATGTGGCTCAAGCTTGGACCACGGTAGAGAGATGATCATGTAAACTGTGCAAGGGTAGTATGTACATATTCAGTTTTTCTAATTTCAAGTGCCATATAGGTTCTTGTTTGTGGTGCCTTTGGTACTGTGCAATGAACTTAGGGACCTCCTTTTGAGCCATTGGAAAAAGACCGCGTTGCCTTGTCTTACCGCAGATTAAGTGCCCCACTTGTGTGCAACCCCAGTGTCAACAAGAACGATAATTATGACAGTGATACTATTCATATAAAACGAATAATAGAAAGAGTATGAAGAATACGAAGGGCAGCAGCAATAGTAGCCCGTATGCTACAGGCAAGCAGCCTCAAACTAATAAGCCAGGAAGCCAATAAACCAGCAAGCTAAGCCAGGAGGCCAAGAAGCCAGAAAGCCAAGAAGCCAGGAAGCCAAGAAGCCAAGAAACCAAAAAGCCAAGAATCCAAAAGCCAGGAAGCCAAGAAGCCAGGAAGTCACGAAGCCAGTACGTGGCGGGTACGTGGACGTGGCCCCCCCACCCAACTAAAAAGAAAATCCAAAAAACACCCAGGTTGTATAGTCGGGACGAAGCAGCTTCAGCTAGCAATTCGTTGGGCTCGTTCTTGCGGACGTGGTGTGATCAAAGGCCGCGCGGCCTCATCGGGAACTTGGCAGCATCTGTGCCACAATTCCAACTTGCGCCCGCGGGGAGGGGACGAAAGCTTTCAAGCAGGGTGCATACCAGCACGTGCATGTTTTCATGAAGCTCCGCGTGCCCAAGAACGGCTTCCAACGTGTTAAAACCTGCCATCCGGCGTCCCAAGCGGCCTCCACGGCACCCGACCCCGAAACTGCATCGAGACAGACCCCTCGTCAACCCTGTTTTCGAGGCCCACGAGGACACCTCCCCAAAACCCTCCTGCTGTGGGGTCTGGCCCGCGAAACATGGCTAAATTCCCCCTTAGTACAGATCAGCAAAGCTGGACTCAGACGAAATCTTAAGAAGCTTTCGTAACTTAGGAAAGAGCAGCTTCAGCGAGAATTCTCGAACACCGTTTTCCATCCTGGCGGCATCTCCTGTCCAAGAAGTGGCAATTGAACTTGGTCGTTAGGGTCGACTTGCGGAGAATCGCACAGTAGGCCTGGATAGGAATCACGCTGCAGGCTCGTGCTCCTGCTGCTGAGCACCGACGAAGCCGAAAGAGGCCAACGAGCTCGCACAGCATGTAGAGCAGCTGATGTCACTGCACAGACAGATTCCAAGAAAACTTGTTCCGAAACGGAGTTTCGCAATGAACGTGCTTCGTGGCGTTGTCGTACGCCTCGCGGCAACGGATGTAGAGGATGAAGATCGCAGGTGTCAAGACCCTTAGGGGTGCACATGTGTACACCACAACAAAAAGCTTTATGCTCGCGTCTTTGAGCAACATCAGCAAGGAACTCCAGCTACCATTACCATTACCCATTGGAATTCGCGCTGTTTCAAGTCTGCAGAGTCTACGTGAGTTCCCCGACAAGTTTATGTCGCTCTCTTTGTGAACCAATGGCCTGGTTGCGGTACGGGGCTTCTGCGCACCAACTGCGTACTCAGCGGCTCTTCTGAGCACCTCTGTGTGGCAAGTTGCGTCCTCTAGGTGAACCCGTGCGAGCCAGGGCGTCAGCATGCCCAATAAACGGTTTCCACAACTACAGAGGAACTGTTCCGGTACAGAAGAACATTTCCAAAGCAGACCACCGATGCTCGGCTTTGACAGTTCCCCTCCTCCACTTCCTCGTAGCTGACGTTGCTGCCCTTGGATTATAAGCGCTGGAAGGGCTACCCACTTGAATTCTTCGGGCAAGCGGCGTTAGCTTCATCTGCATGGCCAAAGGTACCATTCTCGGAGTCGTCGGAAGCATCTGAGTGAGGCAAGAATGGCGCTGGCTCTGGAACCCATTGTCCTGAGACTCCCGCTGTAATCAGATCGGTTGAGCTCCAATATGGCAGCCTCAGGTTAATGAAATAAGTTTGGGTCACGGGTCAAAGGATTGAGTGCACCTGTCGAGGGGCCATCTGATCTGTCAGCTCCGTAAAGCGTGTCATGTTCTCCTGGTCCTCAATGTCCGCCGTCGCATTCATTGTCAGGTTTACCATGTGAGTAATCGAGTTGTTCATCGTATCATCCATTGTGTCATCCGTTGTGTCATTCATCGTGTCATTCATTGTGTCATTCATCGGGTCATTGGTCGTGCCATCGATGATGTTGTCCGTGGTGCTGGCATTCGCAGCATTATACTGCTGATCAGCACCTCCATTGCGCATGCACGGGGATCAGCACGTTATTTGAAGACGAGAATCTTGCCATGTGGGGACAAAGGGGCAATCATCCTGTTGGTCAGGGCATCTCAGAAGTCAAGCAAATGTCTTCGAAGCCTGTGGCATTGCTGTCGTTCCAATGCTTCTGCTCATGACCTGATTTCTAAGTGGAAACATGCTACCAAGGAAAAGCAAGGCCCTTGGCTGCCCGAGTTGCTCAAAGAAACGTTGTCACTCCTCGGAAAAGGTTCAAGGAAAAATGAGAAGCTCATTTAGATTTGCTTCCAAGCAACTCCAGCTCTGAAAGGGAGGCATCGCCTCAACTTGAAGCTTTTGCTCACAACTTCTTCAGCAGCTTCCAAGCCAACTTCTTTGCTTTCAGAGCTCGTTCTGCATTCTGACGCTTCTGAGGGCTGCTCTATCAAAGTCGCTGCCATTGCCGCTTCTGTTGGCCTGTCATCTGGGTGCAAAGGAAAGATGAGTGTAGCTTCCAGATCTGGTGGAGCTGCCTCCTGGGTGGCATTTTCCTAGCAGGAGTTTAGGCTCAAAGTGCAGGTGCAAAAAAAAACGTGGGCCTCCTCAAGCACAAGATCCAGCGGCTCCAGCGTCTCGTTGGAATTGTTACTTTCGTTCGTTGCATTCGTTGCATTCGCTGCATGGTCTTCCAGCTCAAGACCTTGACAGCACGTGCCCTGGGGAAGTGCTTTATGGGGTGCTGATAGTATTTGAAGGTGCGGCCGCCCAAGAGGAACGAGTCGTTCCTTGTGTGCGGGTGAGGCATCAAAAAAAAACTTTATAAGCATCAAAAAAAACATA